CTAAATCTTTCTTTCTCTCTTCACAGCTCTGCTGGTTGCAGTGTTTGCAAGTAATTTGTTTCTCTGACGAAGGAGGTAAGCTGGAGAAGCTAAACTATTCCCACATTCAATTTGGGCTAACTCTGAGAGAAAACAGAGAGAAATGATGGCCAATAGAAGCAAGCAGAGTATAATATTTATATGCAAAAGATCACAACCCTGAAGCAGAACGGGGAATGAGTCCAAACAGAAAGCACAACTTAAATGAAGACAAAATTTCAGTTCATCTGTGCATCACAGGGCTCAAAAGCCAGTTAAATAATTCAACTCTTCAATTATTTTCATTCTCAAATGCCTCTGTTTTAAGGTCAGTGTTATTATCAGCCTCACTGGACAGGCTATTCTGAAAATTCAGTCATTACAGCTAATCTCACCACTCACCTCGGCTCTTCTAAGCTTCATCCCACGCCCAATTGTGTTGTCACAGCCATTGTAATCTATTTTTCCCTCCGTGAATTTTTCAAGTGCATGCATATTTCAATAAAGTACTCTCAAACTTTTGCGTAAACAAGTCAGCTTATGTAGCCATGTTTTGTAGCTCAGGTATCTGGTGTCAGATATCAGATGGGTGACCTTTTGTTTCACCTTTACAAATACTATGAGGTAATTTCTGTTAAATCGTAACACAAAACTGCATGCAGTATTCCAGGGATGGATGAGAGATGTTGTTATGCTTGAAACAGTTCAGAAAAGATTTACAAGGACGTTGCCTGGGTTGTAGGGTTTGAACCATAGGGGAAGGGTGAATTGAATAGGCTGGGACTATTTTCCCTGCAGCGTCAGAGGCTGAGGGGTGACCTTACAGAAGTTTATAAAATCATGAAGGGCATGGATAGGGTGAATAGTTAAGGTCTTTTCCCTCGGGTAGGCGAGTCCAAAACTAGAGGGCATAGGTTTAAGGTGAGAGGGGAAAGATTTAAAAGGGACTGAAGGGACAACCTTTTTGGGCAGAAGGTGGTGCATGTGTGGAATGAGCTGCCAGAGGAAGTGGTGGAGGCTGGTACAATTACAACATTTAAAAGGCATCTGGATGGGTACATGAATAGGAAGGGTTAGAGGGATATGAGCTAAATGCTGGCAATGGGATGAGCTTAATTTAGGATATCTGGTCAGCACAGACGAGTTGGATTAAAGGGTCTGTTTCCATGCTGTATAATTCTATGACTCTATGACAGTACCTGATGTGAATACAGTATCATATCTTTCAAAGTTAAATTATTTCTGCAATGGTGGCTGCGAATTAGGAAGTTGCAAATACAAGCCCACTGCTTAAGAAAAGAGAGTGAGAAAACAGTAAACTACAGACGTATTAGCTTGACTTCAGTGGTGTGGAATATACTGGAATTAATTATAAATAACATGATTAGTGGATATTTAGAAAATAATTGTCTGATTGGACACAGTCAACATGGATTTATGAAAGGGAATTTATGTTTGAAAATCTGGTAAAGATTTAAGGATGTTACTAGGTGAAAGTGACAGGACAGTGCTCATGGAGTCAGGAGAGGAGTTATTCAAAGGTCAGTGACAGTAATTGGGGAAGTGTTGGGGGAGGTCAGTTCTGGAGTTATCCAGGATTTACACTAGCTTTTAATCTATCGATCACGTCAGGGTAACCATCCAGGTAAGTATATTGGAACTGTCTGTTGTAGTCTCCAACTTAAAATCACAAACATTTACCCAACTATGGAATTGCGAATCAGAACTTCCCAGGCAATTGCTCCAGAGCTCCACGTTTAGAACTTGCACATGGTCCCAATGTGCATCTTCAGTTGGATATCCAGTTTCCTATGATCCAGACACTGGAACATTTGGGCTATTATTTCTAAAGTTTTTTTTTCCTCTAATTGTGTGGAAAGCAAATTGAAATGTAGGGACAATAAAGGGAATGTACGATCTACAGAAACATTCTACTTAGAAGGTGAAAGCATAATGCCATTGCAAAGATTTATTAGAATTACACTTAGACAGTTGACAATATAGTATATACAATGGGCTGTGGAAGATATTGATAGCATTACGTTGATGTTTTAATAATACTTCCCTATTGAGCTATAGTGCTCCATATCAGTGAACTATGCTTGTTGACAAGATTCATTACTAATTTAACCCATTAGATTTGGGGAGCTTTGTACTTCTATAGTCACATGGGGGGCTATATTTTCATCAAAACAATATGAACATCTGGTGTAACAAGAATCTACTTTTGCCATGAAAATTGTAACAAAAACCAACTGAATGATTTGGTTCCAATGCCTCAAGTGAGGAATATCCAAGTCAAGCCCAATATGGTGAGTAACATGTCTGCAGTCCAACATTAAAGACAAATGTCAGATTAGAATATGTATTGACAATGCTTTATATAATTTATTTAGATATGACACTCAGACAATGGAAATATTTCTCCCCAGATGTCAATTGTCACATACATTGAGCCTGTTCAAGGTGTTCCTGGTGTGGATGGTAGAACCTCTGCTTCTCTGAATATGACTAATGACATATGAAACTCTAAAAATAGAGCTGGCTGCTGCACAGTTGTAGGAGGCCCTATATGCTGGGACCCTGTAGGCCTCGAGCAGCTCAACTACGACCAGAGTGCTCTAAAACAATGTTGTAGAAGGATAAGCAACGTGACTCCACACAATGTAGGAACAACTGCATGCACGCTCTTAAACCCGCCTAGTTTCATGTGGTTAAAATTGATCAATGGATTATTTTATTCTGTAACCATGTTGGCTGAAAGTGTCAAATGAAAGGGGATATGTAGCACCACAAGAATTCGCCAGTCCTCATTTCTGCACTACTGGACCATTAACAACAAGAATATTCTTGAAACAAATGAAATGGAAATGTCCAGAACATGTCCACATGCAAAATCAATGTTTTAGGCATTCTTTGGCCATATTTCATGATGGATCTAAAAAAGTGGCAAGGTCTTGCAGGGAGAGGACAACTTGACCTCGTGAAAAATAGGACTAGGTTATTTACATGCACATCTAAGAAAGGCTTGGAAAAGCCATGTGAGTAATTTGAAAGTCTCCCTGGCTGAAATGTCATTGCACCTTGACTGCAATCCCTCATTGTCTGTCTGGTTTGCGGTCTCTTCAAATATCTTCATCATTTTTAGAAGAGACCTTACACACAAGAAAATTTTCTCTCCTCAATAATGCCAGGTTGTGTGGAGCACAGCAACAATAATAATGTGAGACCATTGCTGATGGCTGTTGGAAAGCCCTCCCAAATGTATTCATGCAGCTGAATCTTATTTTAAAGGGCCAGATGACTCACACTTATTGGTTGGTCTTCTTGAATGTGGGATCCTAGTCTAGCTTGATATAGCAATGGGTTGTAGACTAAGAAATCCCACTGATGTCTCCAGATGATCTATGAAATGATGCTGAGATGTATAATTTAACACAACTGTGAGCTTCAGAGGAAGTGGGTGCTCACCACTTCTCATAGGGCTCAGATTCTCCACCTAAGTCTATGACCTCCTCTTTCGACAGGTGCAGTCTTCAGTAGCACTGTGCTCCAACATCTGCACAAAGTACAGATCTGTCAGCAAACCTCCTGAAACGTCAGCCTCTCTGCTCCTGTGATGCTGCTTGGCCTGCTGTGTTCGTTCAGCCCTGCACCTTGTTTCTCGGATTCTCCAGCATCTGCAGTTCCTACTATCTCCTCTACTTCTGCTTCTGTTTTGGTGGTGTTAGCATCACGCACTAACATGTGTGTTTTGCCAACACTGATGATAATGTTGTGATAATGACCAGGCAACGCATTTTAGTGATGCTTATAGAGGGACAGTGTAGTGTCTTCCATGTCCAAGGGTTTCCCTTCGTACGCTCTTTGTCCGCCATCCCTTCTACACTGCTGTCTCTCTGCAGGTGGCAACTGTGCTCTTGGTGGCTGTGCCTTTCTCAGTCACTCTGCTTCTCTCTGGAGGTCTCAAAACCAGAATGCATGAGATCTATTGTAACTTACAGTGCTCTTCACTAAAAGTTTCCATTTACACTGCATGTGTGTTCTGTGCCTCTGACAGACCACCAATCATCATGTCTCAGAAGTGCAGACCATGGTTGCCCAGCCTGGTCATTCACACATTTCATTCACACACTTCATTCACTTTCAATCTCCCAGCACTGACCCACTGTTGATCACCATGACTGCCAACATTGACCTACTGCCTCAGTAACTTGTTTTCACTTCTATCCCTGGAAAGTCTTAAAAAGCTCCTGAAAATACATTATTTAACTAGCTTCTTTACAGGCTCAATTGCTTGCCCGTTGTTAGCTAGCATGGTATACACCCAGCAGAACAATCACCTCTAAGAAACTTCAACAACTGGAGGAACACATCAGGCTTCCATCCAGATTTGTTCCCTCACTATTTGTGGCCCACTGGCCTCCTGTGCCCACTTCCCCAGATGTCAGAGAATTCAGCCAATGATGTCCAAGTGTACATAACATTTTCTTGTCAGTTTTCTTTGTACAATATCTCTTCTTGCCCTTAGGCTTCCCAACAATTTCAGCAATATTGTAGTTGACAAGCTTGTAGGAAGCATCCAATGTCATATTTTCATTCAGTCATCAAAGTCCATTGGAAGACCTTGAGTGAGTCTCCCTCTGTATATCCTATTTCTACTTGATAGGGAAAATTTCTGACCTCCATCTGGCATGTTAGCTGTGATGTGGACTTCACCACTTAGATAATCAGGAAGAAGCCCTGACACTCTACAACTCTATGGTACAGCACTTCCCATGTACAAAACAACTTCTATATTATCTTTCATGAGATTTTAAAAGAACTTGCTATATGTTAATAACCTTCCCTTCCTTTTATTCAAAATCACACCAAAAAAGGATTAAACATACTGCTCGTAACCACGTCACTGTCATTAAACTGAGGAAATTTCATTTTAATTAATCTGTTGATAAGTGAATACAAAATAAATTTCACTGTACCTCCAAAGAAATATTGATCTCCAGTTTTGATTTGCATTGAACTGTTTGTCCGTACAGCAGAGGCATCATCACCATCAATAGTGAGGATTGCAGAATTTTCTTTGGCATGAAATTGTACTGTGTGCCACTGTCCATCATTGAGCCCAAAACCTGAAATCCAACAAGAAAACATCAATAATATTTTCTGTAAGCACCTTTGTTCCTGGAAGATGAAAATTCTGTAAACTGAAGCAATTAAAATGACCCAGAGGGTCACAAGTTTATGTAATGATACTGTAGGCAAACTAAACAAGAATAGAGCATTCAGACACTTGTAACATTTCTTATGAACCTCAACACACTTTGGATCTCTGAACTATCAAATGTGATGGCCCCATTTTTTAAATAAAACCTTGTTGAGTCAGTGGAGTCATATGGAGTTGATTTTAATTGAAAATTTGAGGTCAGGCAAAATGAAACTGAATAATTAGGAGCTTAAAGCATGTGCTCACTGAGTGACATAATAAACCAATGAAATTTTACAAAAAAGTTTGTTGATTACTAGACTAATAAAGAAATGATTTTACGGCTAGACTAACAGTTTATCACATCATCAAAATGATTTATATGCCCAATACTGTGAGATGACAAAGGTAGAGATGGCAGTTAGGTGGAAGCAGGGGAAAAGAAGGCCGATGGGGTGATGGAGGAGGTGTGGGTGAAGCGACAAGTGGGAGCAAAGAGAGAAGGGAAGGAGGGAAATGGGAGAATGGGAGAAGTAGTGGAAAAGGCAGAAAAGGTATTTATCGTATAGGTTTAAATAAAAGCTTGAAAGTAATTTTTTTATTCTTTTCAACTTTGTACAGATTTGCAATAGTTAAATACAAAATCATAAAATGATACAGCACAGAGTTGCCGTTTGCCTCATCATGCCCATACCAGCTCTTTTGAGGTGATATCCAATTAGGCCCATTCTCTATCATTTTCCACATAGCCCTTCATGTGTTTCCATTTCAAGTATTTATCCCACCATCTTTTGAAACTTATTGTTGAATCTGCTTCCACTATCCTCTTAGACAGTGCATTCCAGATCAAAACAGTTTACTGATAAAAAGCAGACCCCAACAACGTGATTGTAAGTTACAACAGACAAACAGTCTTTGACATTGTCTGTCAGATTAATAATAAAACTCATTGTTTTCCTCCTCGGCATTTATAATTGGATACAGTACTTGAAAAGGTAAAGGCCTTACTGACTACAATTGTGCATTATTGAGAGAAAGGAATGTCAATATTACACTAAATGTGCTGGCTGCAACTACATTAACTGCCATTTTATTGGCTGTCTCAATGCTATCAGAGAAATAAGCAGAATTCTTGAAAATAACACTGCCACCAGTTTTTATCAATGCAATGCATTATTCTTAACAGTGCAATTTCAAAGACTCTGTATCTTGTAGGATGTTGAGCTTTCTGATCTATTTTTAAATTGTTTACAGATTTGTTCATTTGCTTTTTAGATAACCATACTTGTTTCTATTTTTGTTTCGTGCTACAACTTAGTCTCAGAACATAAGGAGGCGGGTTTTTTTTTATATTTTCTACAATTCCCAATTTAAATCATAACCAACTATACTATTCTACTCTGTAATTCTAAAACTTCAAAGATCATGAAATGGAATTATGGTATCATTATTATATCATATGATCCAGTGGACTTTTCTGTGCAACCACAGTCTTTAGAGTTTCATCCATTTTCCACCTTTCTCTGTCTTTATGTATCTGTCTTTCTTTCATTTCACAAACCATATTTTAACAAGTAACAGTAAAATTTGAACGTTACCAATAAAAGGTGAAAAAAACAGTAAATGCGAACAATTGCAGTGATCAAATCATTTATATATATTTTACATTGTGGAAAATCAGAAAAAAAAAAGACTCAGAACAGGCCAATATTATTTGATTGAAGGAAGCTATGATTTAAATTAACCATAATACAATTGCCACTGTAGAACTAGCAGAAGGCATTTGAAAACGTGCCCATAACATAAGTTTCTTATACTTTCTTTATAAATGTTTGGAAACTGGTTTAGAAGCTGAAATACGCCTCGGGCATTTCTGAAGAAGGGTCTAGGCCTGAAGCGTCGTCCTTCCTGCTCCTCTGATGCTGCTTGGCCTGCTGTGTTCATCCAGTTCTACACCTTGTTATCTCAGATTCTCCAGCATCTGCAGTTCCTACTATCCCTTGAAGCTGAAATACACTTGGTTTAGTTACTACGTTAGCCAAAGTGACTGACAGTTTAAACCCTCTAGGGGTCCCAACAGCTATTTAGATGTCAATCACACATTACAACAGACTTTACTAAGGAAAGTATAACAAAATATAACATTTCAGTACAACACGAGAAAGTAGAATTTCACAAAAAAAACTTGATATATGTTCATTTATTGGAAGGATATGTGTAGTGATTGGAATGAGGGCCAGGTGACTAAGCGATCCTTGATTGTGGTTGATAAACTAGGCCAATCAGGGAGCCCTGGCTGACAGATATTAACTGGAGATTCTGAGAGTCTCCTGATTCTAGGGATGGCTTGGAGCTGGCTGGTCACAGCCCATGTACACTGCACAAGTTAATAAAGAGTGACTTGGTGATGGCATACCGGCCTCTGTGCAGTTATTTCAATATTAAAAACAGAAACAAGCTATACTAAAAAGAATTTAAAAAGTGTTCTTGAAACTTTTACAGCATGTTTATTTATCAAAACTCCAACTTCAACACTCGCTCAGTGGAATATTAATTCTATAATTAATTAGAAACATCATGAAAATAATATTTTTCCAAACCAAGTGCTTTAATAAAATGAAATCATTGCTCAAAATGTTTATTTAACCATACTGTGATCTCCTGCATTTTTTTGGTTTCTCCACCAAGGGTGGAATCGAACACCAATCCCTGGTGTTGTGAGCCACTGTGCTGCCCTAATCCATAGGATATTGATAATGTGGGATTCAGTCATGGTAACATCATTCGGTTATTCACTGCAGTATTACTAGCCTCTGAACAGCTCTTGCAGCTGTTGTATGTATATGACTAGTCTGATTCAGTTTCTTCTGGTCAATAGTAAAATCACAGAAGAATCACAGAACCCCTACAGTGTGGAAGCAAGCCACCCAGCCCATCAAATCCACACTGACCCTCTGAAGTGAATCTCACCCAGACCCATACCACTACCATATCCCTGTAACCTCACACTTCCCATGGCTAGTTCATCCAGCTTGCATATCCCTGGGCACTACCGGCAATATATCATGGCCAATTCACCTAATCTGAAGAAGCAAATTACTGCAGATGCTGGAATCTGAACTGAAAACAACAAATAGAACATAGAACATAGAACAGTACAGCACAGTAACAGACCCTTCCACCCACGATGTTGTGCCAACCTATTATCCTACTAAGATCAAACTACCCTGCATACCCTACATTATTCTATCATCCATGTGCCTATCCAAGCGTCGCTTAAAAGTCTTTAAACTATCTGACTCCACTACCACCGCAGGCAAATGCTGGAGATCACAGGGGGTCAGGCAGCTTCCATACAGAGACAGCAAGCTAATGTTTCAAGTCGAGACGACTCTTCATCAGAGCTGAAGTGAAGTGTGGAGGGGGCAGCATTTCTGCAATAGTGGGAGGGGTTTAACTTTCTGGGTTCAGTATTGAGTTCAGCACCTTCAAACTGTGAACCCATTCCTTCCCTTTCTTTTAGTTTTGCTTGTTACTTTCTCTGTCACTCTCTCTCCCCTCCCCCAACCCCAGTGGGACGGTCTGTTCTTTCTAATCTGGCAGTTAGATTTACCATTATTCTGCCCTTCTCACATTCCAATCACTTAATCTTAACTATCAACACCCTTTCTTCCCCAGCACTCTAACGCCACTCTCCCACTATTGCATAAATGCTGTCTACTCCAAATTTCACTTTAGCTCTGATGAAGAGTCATCTAAACTCGAAACGTTAGCTTGCTCTCTCTCCATGGATGCTGCCTGACCCGCTGTGATCTCCTGCATTTTTTTGGTTTCACCTAACCCGAACATTTTTGGAGTTGGGAGGAAACTGGAACACCTGGAGGAAACCCACTCAGACATGGAGAGAATGTACTAACTCCACACAGACAATCACCAAGGGTGGAATCGAACACCAATCCCTGGTGTTGTGAGCCACTGTGCTGCCCTAATCCACAGGATATTGATAATGTGGGATTCAGTCATGGTAACAGCATCGAATGTGAAGGGGCAGTAATTAAATTGCCTCTTATTGGAGATGGTCATTGTCTGGCATTTGTACGGTGTGAATAAGGTGTAGAGCTGGATGAACACAGCAG